CTCACATCCTTCATGTAACTTTAATTTTCTTGTAGATTTATAGACAGGAAATGTAGGAGGAAAAAAGGTAAAATGTATTAGTTTATTTAAACTTACACAAAAAGTCTTGATTATTTTTTCGTAATTTTGTGATCCTTATCTAAGGCATTTCTATCAGTCGTTGACTTGCCAACTGCAGAAGAAAATCCCAAGTGGATGAAACCTATTTGAATACAGTTTTTAAACATTATAATAATTGGTAGATTAATTATTTTACACTGGAAGTACACTTTAATATTTTATATACTATCGTTGTTTAATCCATGCCATTTTGTGCTTTACAAAATGGGATTGCTACTGTACACTTGTATTGTAATCAGCAGCTGGCATTAACCTATAGTATTAATTAAATCCTACAAAATCTAAAGATATGGACCTTCATATTAAAAAAAAAAAAGTCCATCATCTGAAAATAGTAGACTTGCACTTATTTTGCATGTCTGTGATTTGACCACACCAGACAGGAGGCATGGAGAATTAAGCTCACGATAAATAATTCTGTTGTGTTATACTGGCTGTTTTGATTATTTCTAACACCAGTACCTGCCTCTTGGCCTCTTAATTTCTTTTTTCTTCTCTCTCTTTCAGTGTAAAGAGTGCAAATACCCTTGTTGTGCAGGATTTTAAGTTAAAGGGAACATAGTATGGTACTGTCCTGATCTCGCAGCATTGCTTAGGAGTCTTGTAAAAGTACAATACCATAACATAGAAAGGTCCTTGAGATTGCAACAACGGTGTAATTTCATTAGCCTCACTGAAGGGTAGAATTTATGATTTTTGCACTGGTAAAGGCAGATTAGAATCAGGTTTCTGTGACTCTTCAGCATGACTGTAGATCATTTTAGGGTAGCAATGATAATAATAAAAAGAAACGCGTATAAGAAAATTGTGTAAGTAGCTGTACAGTTTAAGGCAAGTGAAATGCCTGTAGCAATATCCAGGTACACTCAAAGCACAGTGTTAACAATGGCAGTGCCTTTTCAAGCTCACAGATCCACATTCAATAAATAACCGCTTCCACCCGTGTGATATTATGCTACATGAAATCATCATCTATAACGTTGTTCCACTGAAAAGGCAACTTTAACTTTTGGTGGTCATTTATTTGGTGCTAAAAATTCTTCTGACCTCCCCCTCATGCCACACAGACACAGAGAAGCGCATGGAGTTTTTCAGCACCTCGTGCACAAAATCCTTCGTGGCAGGAAGGGCTGGTGCGGGACAAACGCATGATACCTGACCAGATCCACTCACTGCACCTCCTGGCACTGTTCCACCCAGCCGGTGTAAATAAACATGTAGCAACATCAACAGGGCTTCAGTAATGGCAGAGATGAGCGTGGACTCTGAGGAGCACTGGAATCTGAGCATCGTCTATGTTTGTGTTAAGTATTACGGTTCTCATCTGTCGAATCGCATGGATTAGAAAAAATACAATAAATCTACTTTAGAATAAAATCAGATTAGCTGGTATCTTTGTTTAAACCATAAATACATAGTTATGCTCCAGATTTCATTAACAAATAATTTGTTTCAAAAAAATCCATCTGAAATCTTTTTCTCCTAGCATCTAGGGGAAAGAGGGCTTTAGGTTTATATTCCTCTCACGGTTCAAATTTAAACTTAAACGCAGCCAACACTACGAAGCCGTCCGCTCATTCCAGTTCGACTACTTTAATTGCTTGCCCGCAACGTTTGCATGGGTTTGGCCCTGTGCTTTTTGCGGTGCCGGGTAGCGCAGCCCGGAGCCAGGGGCAGCGCGGGGCGCGCAGCTCCGCTGTTCTCCTGCGCGGGGCGACCCGGGCTGGGTCCGTCCTTTGTTCCGCCGGCTGCTGCCCCGTTACCGTGCCCTGCCTGCGCTTTCCCGCCTTTCCGGTAGGTGCCCCCAGAGACCGTTAAACCTCTTGGGCGGCTCCGCTTCACTCAGGTGGAAGGCCGGTCCGTTTTCATTTGCCTCCTTGAAGTGACATAATTGTTCAAAGGAAACCTAAAATCGGCGTGGACGCAATGCAGAAAACCAAACTTACTTGGTCAGTAATATATCGTAGGTTATTAGGTGGCGAGGTTCCAAAGCTTTAGTGTACACTACTTTATTAATGCAGTAGATGCATACTGTTAACAGTTGGATTTTATAAAATAAATGATGTGCATTTAATTAGGTATCATCTTTTTATAGTTATATTAGAAATAAGGTAATCTTTGGCTATGTAAAACACGAGATGTTCTGTTTAACCTCTCATTTTACATGCTGCATGACATCATAAAAAACAGTATGAAAAGGATTTTGAGAATTGAGGATTTATAGTTTATGTCAAGATAATCGTGAAAAGTTTACTTCTGTCACATACACTACTCCTCTGTTCGAAAGCACTGTTTGTTGGAAAAAATGGACACTGGCATTTTCGGCCGGAACCACTTTGATAACTGGAACAATGTCAGAATTCGTTGCAGTGTCAAGCTCTCTTAGGTGTCACGAGTACCGTTCATCCCCATAATATCACTCATTTCCAGCCCACTTTATTTGTGTGTGATCAGTCACTTGTGGGTTATATATTGCAGAAACTTAAGGAAACGATAGTAGTATTATTTTGCTCTTTGTGTATTCTGTTTTTAAGTAGAACCGAGAGATCACTTTTGTCTTTATGCTTCTAAAATTTGAATGGTTATACAGTAGATGGCTTCACTGCTTGTGAGTTAAAATCAGTTATCTTTGCCTAAGAAAAAAATGTGCTGTGTGCCATATGATTACTTCAGGATTATTTCAAATTCTTTATTAATTGAGATGGGATTTATTAAAAGAATATTGATACTAATTTTTAAAACTGACCTATTTTACTGTATGTGTTGTTTTCCTATATTGCTTTGCTGTGTTCTGGAGAAAATGTGCTTTGACTTCAAGTAAAATGCATCAGTCTATAGGAAATAACATCTTACGGGGACACAGTTTTTCTATTTATACGAATACTGATACTGTGCTCAGTGAGTATGCAGTGAGTGTTAAAAATTAACCAAATTAAGTTTTTGTTTAGTCACTGTTAAGATCTTTTAGCCGTACTTTCTTGTTTACTTCCAATACATCTAATGATCTAATGCAGGCACACATACACACATATATAGATCACATTGTGTAAATAAGTATGCGTGTATGTGTGTCTGCTATGCAGATTGTTATTCCACTGCTCTGAGTTATATTACTGTAGGATTCAGTCCTAGGCCTTTGGAAGTTGGTAGGAATTTATTACCTGTATTCTTCAATTTTTTGTAGTTAGATAGAATTTTAAAACAGAAAAAAAGAAAGTATTCCATATACAGAGTAGAGAATACATTGCACAGTATTAACATAATATCTTTACAGTATTTTTAACCTATGTACTGTGCATCTGATATATGACAAATATAGCATATTCTGGCAAATTAAAATTTAAACATTTAAAGCTATTTCTCATTTACTTTTCTAAGATAAATGTTGCAGAATGGTTATATGTATATAATGGTATATGTATATAAATGGTACAGAATAGTTATATGTTTTCCCTTGTCTGTGTGAACAACATGTGCTTTTCAATCTTAAAAAACACCTATTTGTATTTTAAACATAAATTCAGTACTGTCCAGTCTAAATCATATCAGGATTTTGTAATACTTTGTGTTCAGACCTGCAACTGAAATGTAAAAAATATATGTGAAGGATTAATGTGCATCTTTGTCATAATTAATAGATTTGATTTTACTCATATTAAATGTGAAACAATGCAGATTATTTACTTCTTACATTTTACATTACTGTTTATTTCACTGGCATCTAGCTAAGAAGTTTTTTACATCACTTCCGTGGTATTAGTGTTGTTAAAGAGCTGCGGTAGCTCTTTTTGGGCTAGAAGTATTAGTCTCATTAGGCTGTTGTTTAGCATGAGGTCATCTGAATTTATTACATAGACTATAAAACTCAGTTTTCAGAATTCCGTATTTATTTTAAAGCCGCTGAGAATTTGAAGTTAAATGGATTTTAATCTAAACAGACGGTCTTGAAAACAGTTTGGAAACTTAAAGGAATATACAAAATAAAATTAGCACATCTGAGTCCTTGCCATTTTACTGGGACGAAGGTTTGTTTACTCACACTAGGTACCTACACCTGCAAATCTTTTCATCTGTGCTTTAGTGTTGCAGGCAGTCCCATTGGACTCATAGTTTTCTCCAGGAGAGGACACAATGATTGTTTCATGCCACATAAAAGAAATATTTTGATTATTTCCATAAATAATATCTCAAAAGATATATTACCTCTTGAGAGTACTTGATTACACAACTTTTTGATATGCATGTCTTATCAGAATTTATGAATGAGATAACTTTGATATAAATTCGTCATTGCATCATTTGATTTTAAAATTAGGGAGAAATTATCAAACTTTTGCATCAGTAAACCAGCCCCAGCTGAAGTTACATGCGAAACAGAAGCAAAATAATATCTAATGATTATGTTTCTGGCATAGCATTTGTTTGACGTTTTAAACCAAGCCATCATGTCCAACAGCAAAACTATTTAACATATACATTGTTTTGACAAGTGAAATGTGCCTCATTTTTCCCTGTGCACTGTTTTAAAGTGTACTAAGAGTTCATTGTGTTTTCAGGAACTAATGTAAACATGGGCGGGGGGGGTTCCCATCAGTCAGCCTTTTTTACCAACACCAGCTAAAGAATGCCAGTATATTTTTAACATGTTTTCAAAGTATATATTGGTCTTTATTCATTATTGCTGTATTTACTTCCCTAGGGTATGACACTCATCATCGTGTTTTAGCAGAACGCTTTCTGAGCGGGAGAAAAAAATACCCCTTCCTTGCTGCTGAACTGCAGAGGTCTCTTCTTGAAAGCTGTTGTAGTTATCTGTAGTTGGTAAGGTGGAGAAGAGAATACCGGTTTAAAGGCTTAACATCCATCTTTCTTATTCCCAGTAACAGGAATTCATACAAGAAGAACATCTGCATCGACATGCTGCGACAGGGTTATCACGAGTCCTTCTCCGAGCTCTTCACTCTGATACAGAAGTGGAATGCCTTGAGGGAGGCTGCAGGGCCTGGGTCAGCCATATGGCAGCAGAAGTCCCTGGAGGAGCAGCCTGATAAGCTGGATCAGCTTTACCACTTCCTGACCAGGGCTGAGGCAGCCCAGCGAGCAGGTAAATGTGGGGATTGTGGGTAGCAGAGCAGCGGGAGCCGCAGCCGCCAACGCCTGGGGGAAGCTTCCAAATTGTTTCATGTATGAATTTGAAACGTTGCTGCATCTCAGCACATTTCAGCCTTAGTCAACTGAGCTGTATTTAGAGAATAAATGATGAGGAACTGCAGATATCGGGAGAGGTTTTGTGAAGAAAAAGAAAAAAAAAAAGGGGGGGAAAACATGTAGAGTGCATTACGGTATCATCAGAAATGTTTGCTATGTTTATAGCTTTGATAATGTTGCAGTAATTTTCTCATAGTTTCATTATTTATTGTTTTTCTTTCTCTATTGATTTGAGTAGCTGGGTTTGTATTAGAAAAATCTAATAGGTGAAATGCTGTTTCACACAGTAATAGTTTTATAAATCTGATTTTATTAAATACCCTGTCTGCTAACTGTGTTTGGATTTGTGACTGACTTAAAAAGGATTGTGAACATGTCAAATAAAATACAGCACACAGATGTAACATGCCACCTGTGAATTACTAGATATTAGTGAAGACATAACTCCAAATTACTGTATTTTCTCTGTTGCCTACTATTTACTAAGCACTCATATTTATCATTTCCTTTTACTATAAATAGTAGCGTAACTTACTCTGTCTTTCTCCTTTGGAATAATTGTAGGGATAGAGGCAGATAAAGCTCTGACTGCAGTCCTGTTTCATGGCTGAGCTGATTTCACTGTAGTTGGCTTGAAATTTAGAGAAACAGATAACTTCATTTTAAAAAGGAACAGCAAAAAAACCCTTTCAGCACTTGAAAAAATGTTGATTTAAAATGTTTATTTTATGTTTACTATGAAAACCAAAAGTTGTGTTTATTTAATTCACTGTAATTCTAGGCAGGAAGTCTAGCCAGCCCATGATTGGAAGGAATCTTCAGATTTGTCTGAAGTACCACTAAAACCTGAATAGGCACCCCCGTAACTTGCAGGAGTAGGAGAGAGAAGTTTTGCACTCAGACTGCCCTGAGAAGAATACTGCCAACACATTGACATTCAAAAAACGGTAGATGTGGCTTATCTTGATGGGCCTGCTTCCTGCAGCTGCTTGAGGAGAGCATTCTGCATTCCTTCAGTACATGATATTTTTCAGTGTTACAAACTAAGATGTGACAACAGAGTTGGCAAACTGGCTCCCGGAGAGTCAAGGCACTACTGACTGTGCAGCTTCTGGCCCTACAAAAGGCAGGGGCCCTTTCTCTTACTGAGCTCAGCATTCATTGCGTGCTGGGCTCTGTAAGTCTTTCACCTCTCGCAGAGACAAGATACCACCAATTGTCTGACTGGTTGTATCTTGCCTCTAGGAGAAAGTATCTCCCAACTTTGCCCGTTAAAGTTGGTTAAAATGGAAGAAGAGATGAGAATGTACATATAGAGCTGGCAAGCATCTTTACTGAATTGCTAGATGAAGGTACGGTTAGTTTTGATTTTTTCACCAGTTTCAGTGCAAACCTTTGCACAAATCTCTTGTTTGTATTTAGTGAGGCTTGAGTCACCTGGCACATGGAGGGGTGAATGCTAATTCATGTTGCAGGTGTTAGAGCTAGTAGTGCTGTGAAGATAACATGAATTATACAGCTCATCAAATACTAATTCAGTAGTTCCGCTAATCCAGTTACTCCCTCACTCTAATCAAATTGCTTGGGGCTCTGGCTTATGATCTCCTGACAACTCTAGTTGACACCATTTAAGAAGTGTTCAGCAGTTCACCTCAGCTGGAACTTACCATGATGTAGCTGTCACAACAGCAGCTGACCTGCATTTGCTCTTCAGCTGCCACAGTTCATGCTTGAAAGGCTGAAAGTAATGTTTGGGGCTGCAAACTGTGAGAGGTTCATAGTGTGGCTGATGTCACTAATATTAGGCTAGCTGAAAGTTTACCTGTCTTGGGTATGCTGTCCTGAGCTAACAGTTATGTTGAAGAAGAGATTGCAGGTATAAATTATGGAAAAAAAAATTAAATTTTCATGCCTTGTAAATTTTTTGATGAATTTAAACTTCATAAAGAAATTGGTTTTGAACCTGAAGCAATGTGGAAAATAGAATTTCATGTACTGTGTCAGTAAATTGAATAAGAATTTAAAAAATTATTTTTCTCACCTGATAGTTTTGTATTATAGAGTGTTGCTGTCTTAATTATGAATATAACTTAGAACTGCTCCTAAGTTTAGAGTTTTATAGTTGTTACCATTGTGTATAGAGAAGATGAGGTATTCATTCACTTTCTGTATTTATTGGTGGAATATGTTAATCTTTTCTTTTTTTTGATAGTTTGTAGTTATAGGACGCTATAATGCTGGACATAAATTGTTTACCTGAGCAGAATCAGCGCTGTGCATCACAATGTGGAGGCTGATATCAAAGAGCAATTATTTTCTTTACTGCTGAGTTTGAAAATAGTGACGTTTTGTTTACTAGCTTTACATTGTACAGACCGTTTACCTTTGCAAACACCAGTGAATCTTCTGTCTGTTTTCATTTTTAGCAGAACATTTTGATTGACCTTCAAATCATACAGGAGTTGTTTAGGTTTTGGGTTTTTTTCTTAAATTGGCTATTACCAATATTATACTGTATGTAATGAAAATATCTTTCTTTCTGTCCAACTTAATCTCATTTTTGTTGTATTTGAATACCTCCCAAGTATTTAAAAATAGAGAGCTAGCATTATTCCTTGCAGCTTCTCAGAAAAATAGCTGACAGTTATTTTGCCCTAGGTACTGCATTATCCCAAAACCACTGGTAGAAATACTGGCAATACTTAGCTGCATTCCTATTGGTCTTTTTTGATGCAAATAGTGTAAATGTTTCTGACTTCAAAATTGAGTTGTTTCTGATTAGTCCATGATAATGAAGGAAGATCAAGGAATAACCTCTCTTTTTACTAGTTCTGGTCTCAGTAGCTTAAAAAAAAAAAAAAAAGAGGTAGTTTATCTGTTTAAATATGTATACTTCTAGGGTTTTTTACAGAAGAATTCAGGATAGGTGTCAAAGCAATGTATCTACATAGCTCAGCGTTTGATGTATACAGTCATTTCTTGGCAAGTGTATGAAAATGTTTGGGGTTTTTTCAAAAAGAAAGTTATATTTTGAGGCTGTGGAACGGCCTGCCTGATTGTGGTGCTCGGAGTAATTTCACTTAAAGGTATAATTGTCCTTGAAAGGTAAAACACAACATTGTCAGGTTGTTGTTGCTATTCCTCTGAACAGCCACAGCTCCCTAGTCCATACTCGGCACTGTTCTGCAAGTTAGCAGGAGGGAGAGTTTGAACCCACGGTCCATCCTTGTCTGACATTGAGGGTTGCTAACTGAATATTCTCGGGCTGCTGACGCCCCATGAACAAACGATGACCGTACCCCACAGAGGTGCACCAACTAAATAGAATTCTTTTTGTCTGTGTAAGATCCAGACAACATTTTACTCTATATCTCTGTGTGTTTGGGTGGGTCATGGGGAAGAAGTAGAAACAAAGGAAATCCAACCAAGAAGTCTTTTAATTATATTTGGGAATTTTTGAACAGCACCCAGTGTAATGTGTGCCTGGCAGAACAGTTCATTATAATGATAATGTTACTGTTCTTCAGATAAAGATAAGTTAAAAATGAAATTAAAACCTTTAAGCTGGTATTTGCACAGATTTTACCATATGAATGTAACTGATTCTTTAAATCACTACTTGGCTGCTGAAGTCCCTCTTATTGTTTTTAAATGCATTGCTAATTTACTTGTTGGGTCTGTATACTCGTTAGGCTAAGCTGCTTATTTGAATCATCTCGTCAAAGTGTTGTGTAGCTACTGTTAGTTAGCACTGAGCCCACCAGAAGAATGATTGATAGTTTGCAGATTATACTGTAAAGCGTCAGTTGTCTATTTTAGACTGAGGCCAGCCTCTCAGTGATAGTGTGCCAAATTTGGGTTTTTGTCAAATTAGAGGTCACCTGTCCCAATATTATTTCAGAAGGGCTTGGAAAGTGTTGCTCTTCAGATTACATCTGATATATACATATTAAATGTAGTCTTGAACCCTAACTGAATCCTTACCTAAGACTAGCAGAGCCCTTGAAGAGCTGGTATGATCAGCGCTTGCTAGAGTGAGCTGATGTACTTGTATTGTACAGGTTGAAGGGAATGCAAGGCAAGTCACAGCTCAAGAACAATTAAAGGAAGAGATGTCTCAGCCATCAGCCCTACTCTGCCAGAGCAGGGGAGGAAAACACCACAGTTCAGTGGCTGCAAAGTGTGTTGAGCAGTCTGCACTATAGGGGCAGATCACTGTGTTTGCTGTGCCAAAGCCAATGCATGGATCCTATACCCAGGTGTGAACATGCCTTCAAAGGGGCAAGATGCTGCTTATTAGTTGATCAGTGGGGCAGCTGGTGGAGAGTAGGAGTTAAGACCTGGAAGCTGTTGCCTTTCTCAGATTGATTCCATCTGCTCCTGGTTCCTGACCCCACACAACCTTTGTGGTGTGCTTTGTGCTAAATGCTGGATCTGTGCATGTGCTGCAGGCTGCTGACCCTTGTTCTAGAGAATATCAGACACACAGAATTAGAAGGAAGTGCTAACTTGGCTCTTTTTTTCCTCACTTCAGTGTAGAGAAAACTTTTGACAGTATGAGTTATCATTTGTTGTTGTTGTAAAAGATGACTTTTCATAAAGTATATGAAGAAAATGTAAGTATTTCATGTGTTTGCACTGGAAAATCTTTGTCTGATGTACTTAAGGTTGGAAACAGTTTAGCATTTTACAGTGGAAAGCTTTTCTGTAAGATTTCACACTTACGCCTTAGGCTGGGCTAGAAATATTGCAATAACCGTATTACCCATGCTGTTTTGGAAAAAAAAATGGAAAGAGGTTATGCATTAAAAAAGAAAAAGGATAAACATACCAAAACCTCTTTTAATATTTGCTTGGCAGAGGCATAGTTTTGTTTGGTTTTGGGGGGATGGGGAA